CGATGGGGTCCGGCCCGAAGGCCCGTCGGGGCGGCCCTGCCTCGCCCCCGCGCCTAACGCGGGCACCCCGCCGTGTTTTCCAGGAGGAGACGCAACCGGCCACCCTCAACATCCCCCTGGGTGAGTCCGCCTCCACCCGAAACGGACCTGGGCCCCGGTGCCTGGTGGGCCTGCCTCCCACATCCCTCCACGGTGCCCCACAGACCTCGTAAACCTCCCCAAGACCTCCTGCAGACCCCATCAGACCTCCCACTGTGCCCCACAGACTCCATAAACCCCCCCAGACCTCCCACGTCTCCCCCCATGGTGCCCGACAGATCTCCCACATCCCCCTCATGGGGCCCCACAGACCCCATAAAACCCTCCAGATCTCCCACATCCCCCCAACAATGCCCACAGGGCCCATATACCTCCCCAGACCTCCCACATCCTTCACCATGGTGTCCCGCAGACCCCGTATCTCCCCCCCCTCCCCGACCTCCACATCCCCATAACCCAGAGGTGGTACCCAGAGGAGTGCTGGGCTCCAGAGCCCATGCTCAGCGCACAGAGCTAAACCCAGAGCGAAGCACCGCCAGGTCACAGGCATCCTTCGGGACTGCATTCTGCAGCCTGGCTCGTCCCCATTCCACTGCAAAGCCCTCCAGGGCCATGTCTCCAGGTCAGCACGCTGCTGCTTTTCTCTTCCAGCACGCCTGACCGTGTCCTACTGCCGGAGCAGCGGCCCCGGGGGACAACACGTCAATAAAGGTGAGAGGGAGACCTTGAAGGGAAAATCCTAATCTTTTAAGTTGTTTCTTTATACTTTGTAGTGAAATATTGGGAGCTTGAAATTCAAGAGCACCTCTGTGCTGCCCGATGCTCGTTTTTCATTATTGTTACCTTATGTTTTAACAGAACTTCTAAGTCTTCACAGTGCTCGAGACCATTGGTACCATATTGGTTTCTCCTAGAAACACTGCTACTGAGATTGCTGCTGCTACATGTGTCACACGAAGCACCACTTCTGTCTAATCTGCTTTCATTAATCCAACATACAACAAGCCAACTGGATTCTGAAATTTAACAGTGCAATAAATTCTCGGCTTAATTCAAATAAACTAAAAATACTTCCCGTTCTGCCATTACTATTAAAATAGGTAGTTAGTGATTGGCAATAGCAATAAATCTTGTAGCGTCTAGAAAGGCAAATACCATAAAAACTTAGTTTATCTTGCAGAGTGGTATGTAAAATTATAGCAAGAAAAAAAACCTGTGATCTTTCAGAAAATTAACACTGGAATCATCCTATGTTCAAAGCCAACAGTAAACAGACTGAATTATCTCATAAAACTTAGGAAGGCGAGCTGTTACATTGAAAAAAAGGTCCTGTTTTTCCTCTCAGTGAATACCAAGGCAGAAGTTCGGTTCCACCTGGCGTCAGCAGACTGGATTCCAGAAGCTGCAAGACAAAAAATGGCATCGATGGTAACTACCCTCCCCCTTCCAGCCGTGGTTTAAATGTCACACTTTCAGCCAGAATGTGACGAATCCAGTGAGGTTTCAGCGATCACATCAGGTTTTCCCTTCTTCAGCACAGGAATAAGATAAACCGAGCTGGTGAGCTGATTGTGAACTCTGAAGAGAGTCGCTACCAAATGAGGAATCTGGCGATTTGTCTAGAAAAAATCAGAACGATGGTCATGGAGGCTACCGAGAAGCCCAAGGTGGTGTCTAAGGAGACAACACAGAAACTCATAGAGAGGTAACCTTTATTTGAGATGGATTCAGATTATCACGTTCCCATGATTTAGTTTGCAGCATCTTTAAACAATCTTCTTCAAGCTCATTTGGATTTCCTTTAAAAAAAAAAAAATCACTGGTCTTTTAGGTCTTACCTGCTTTCCTGGGTGGCATCCCAAGAACAAGGACTGTTTATTCTGCCTGTGGACGTTTGTCAGTTCATCAAATCTACATTATAACTGTACCCAAAGTTGAATTTTTAAATGTTTTCTGTGTATACTAAAGGATCTTTTCGTTTTGTTTTAGGGTGGAAAAAATGAACCGTGAGCGACTACGACAGAAAAAGATACACTCAAATATAAAGCAGAGCAGGAAGGCAGACTTTGACTGAGAACAGCAGAGATCAAAGTCCTTCTTCATACCATCTTTTTAAAGAAATGGCATTGGCAGCTGTAGCTGATGCTAAACTCATGAACTATCTTGAATAAAAATGGTCTAAAAGTGTAAATAAAAATATTTAACATCTCCTTTTGAACATACACAGTAACCCCCTGTCGATCATTTTGCAGAAAAATTACTGTTCATGTGTGAAACTAAGAATTCAGATTTTTATCGAATACTTGTGGTTTTTTGGTTGGTGTTTGGTTTTTTGGTGGTTTTTTTTTAACTCTTTGACCCCTTCATCCAGCCCTCTGCACTTTGAGAGCACCCTCTGCTGCTGAACACATAAGGAGCAGTAGATTTTTGGGTGGAAAGAAAGGGAAGAGTAATAGCAGTCTAACTGCGTATCTAAGTAGCAAATCAAGTTTTCACCTTTTTTTTTTTTTTTTTTTTTCCCTAACCAAAGCCAAGTGCTGTCATTTTTGTTAAATTAACCTAAAGCCATGGCAGGAATTTGGCAGGGGGTCATTGCTGTCTCTTCAGAAACCACCCTGTAAATAGAGGCGGCTTCTGGCCCTGGAGGTAGAACACCAAAAAACCTCAGCCTGAGTCTTACAGCCTCAGGAGCCGCTCGTCCATGGACCCTGTTTAAACAGAACAAAGTTCTGTGGTGTAACATGGTGGATTTCACCGCTACCAGGTTGGTTCACAACGGGGAGGGTCTCAAAGATACTGAAATTTCACTTTTTTCACCACTTTACAAGGCCCCAGTGGCCTAATGGATAAGGCACTGGCCTTCTAAGTCAGGGATTGTGGGTTCGAGTCCCACCTGGGGTGAGGAGAGGTGGCTCTGTTTTAGGCAAAGAGTTGAATAAGAGGGGAATGAGCGCTCTGCTGGTCCGCAGAGTTTAATGGGGGGCACGCAAGATGTGGGGGCTCTGCTCTGACTCTCCTGCGGCTGGTGCCGGGTTCCCTTTAGAAGGGGGACTTTTGAGTTCTGCCCTTTACGCAGTCCAGCATTTACATCCCCAAAAAGCAGAGAGCTCAAATCCCACCTCCTCCCCAAAACGAGCTGCCGGGAGGGGGGGGAGGAGGACACCGATGCACCCTGACATCCCTGCCCCAGCCTGGCCGCCTCCACCTCTGTGCACCCCCTGCTCACCAAGGGGAGCAAAAATAAACTTTTCCCAGCTTAAAGCTTCCCTGGGTGGGAGGGGGCGGCTGCCAGCACCCCCCGTCACAGGGGAAGGTGTCCGTCCAGCTGCGGGCTGTGCCCTGACCCCTACAAGCAAATGGAGTGGGGGGTGGTGGTGGTGTCACTGCTTCAGAGGGATTTCTGACACTGAATGTCATCACGCAAAGAGCAGTTGGGACACCAACAGCCGCAGCCGAGAACCTCACGGCCACGTCCCACCTGCGGCTCACCCGGGCACCTCTCCCTGCCCAGATTTTACAGGAAGATTCGCAAAATTTTGCTTAAAGCCAGCCCACGCCACCAGGGCTTGGAGACTCACACTTCAGGGATCAAAAACCCTCATCCCCCATCCCACCCACTCCCCGCTGCCTGAGCCCAGCTCTGGGGGTGCCCGAGGGACCCTCGCCCCTCACCGCAGGGGGGAAGACACCCCCAAACGCGTAAACCCCCCCCCGAGGCGGAACACCCCGGAACCCGTCGTGGATCCCCGGGGCAGAAAAGAGTCACCCCAGATGGGACTCGAACCCACAATCCCTGGCTTAGGAGGCCAGTGCCTTATCCATTAGGCCACTGGGGCTCTATACAAACCGTCTTTTGGTGCCGTAACTTAACTCTCTGATGGCCAGAGGGGAGCGCGGCCGCGCTGTGCGCCATCGGGGGGGGTTCCCGCAGCCCACGGCGGGGGTCTGAACCTTCCCCGCAGCACGGCAGCGCCGTCCGTCCCCCCGGAACCGCGTCTGCT